GTGTGTGTGTGTGTGTGTGTGTGTGTGTGTGTGTGTGTGTGTGTGTGTGTGTGTGTTTGCACGTGCTGTGGGACTTCTCAGTGCTCTGGTTCCTATTAAGAGGATTCACACACGTGGGCACTTGGGGCACCTCTAGCCTGTCTCCCCTTGAGCCCCTACTTGGGTGCTTGCAAACCCTGCCTGGGGTTTCAGCTGCTCCAGGGAAACTGGCTCCCCTTCCTGACTGCCGGGGGACAAGGCTGCCTATTTCCCTGGGGGTCTCTTAGCATGCCTGGCATCAGGACCTGGGACGGCAGGTTTGTCAGGGTGCCTCCAGGAGCTCCAGCCCACACACACTTGGGCTCATGCCCTCTGCCCCTGTGGGCTCCGAAGGCCATTCATGTGGCCTGACCAGTACCCCTGAGGTGAAGGAGACTGCCTGTGTGTCCCCAGCCTGGAACTTCTAGCCTAAGAGCCTGAATATGCAGAAGGACAATAGCCAGACCATGTGTAAAACACAACTCAGACCCACATCTGCAGCCAGGAAGCTGAGCCTCTTCGACAGGAACCTACCCAGGGACCCAAGCAATAACACCCATGACAAGCACCCCGAGACCACCAGGACTGTCAATCACTGGCAGCCTCCTGTGTTTGCCCCCACTTCCAAGCCAGGACCAGCCTCCACCAGTCATGGGGGGCTCCTCACTCCTAGTGAGGGCCCCAGCACCCCAGGCCTGCAGCCCCCATCAGGGCTCACCTGGAAGCTTCCCCCTCCCCATCCAGCCCAAGTTCCCACCCAACCCTGAGACCTGGCCAGGCCCTGCTGTGGCGCCCCCAGGCCCCCCTTTGCCTCCATCTCTGTGGCTCGGCCCACAGTGTGACAGTTGCTCCAGGCTTCCCGCCAGATCACCATGGCTCTGAAGTTGCTCGTGCCCTGTCCAGCATGGGCAGTCTTCCCTGGGGCTCCCCACCCCTTGCAGAAGGTTGGCCGCTCCGCCCAGGGCCCTGCCTGCCTGCTCCTGGCCACAGGGCCTCCCTAGGGCCGGCTCCCACAGCCCCCCACGAGGTGCACAGCTCCCAGGCCCACCCTCCCCCAGCTTTGTCCCGCGGTGGGCTGGGCTTTCGTCAGCCCCAGGCCGCTTTCACAGTTGGGTCCCTCTCTGTGTCCCCACCGGTCTGGGATTGAGGGCATCTGGGTGAGTGAACCCCTTGCCCCCTCAGGTATGATAGAGAAGAGAGGCTCTCAGCTCCTGCTAGACTTCCTCGAGCTGGTAGGAGGCTGGCCAGTGACCGGGGATGTGTGGAATGCGAGTGTAGGTAAAGCCCGAGCCCAGTGGCAGCCCCGTACAGCAGATGGGACACACTGGGCCCCTGGAGCTGAGGCCTGCAGGGCCTGCGCTGGGGAGTCGGACCAGCTGCTGGCCAGCTCCCTATCCCTGCGGCTGGGCCCCTCCAGCTCTGCAGAGGGGCACCCCCTCCAGAACCCTGGGGAGGCCCCATCTCCCAGCCCCAGGCCCCAGCCCCAGGGGCGTGTGCTCCGCTCTCTGCCCTCTGACCCACCCGCGACTTAGGATCGCCAAGGGGTTGGCAGCCCCCCACACCCATGACTGCTTTTAGGGCGCTCTGTTCCTGCGGACTGTCTGGGGAAGCACCTCCCTGTGGCCCCCAGCCCCCAAGGCCCACAGGCGCCCTCACCACTCTGAGCCGAACGGGTCCCCATGGCCCCACAGCCCCAAGCTCGGGGCACCAGGACTGCCTGTCTGACGGGCGCGGTGAGTCTGCAGCACGGGCACTGCTCCCCAGGCCCCAGGCGGGAGCTGGAGAAGCAGCTGGCCGTGATGAGCTCGCGGTTCTGTCAGCGTGTCCTCGTTGACCTCTTCGTCTGGAACGACGACCAGAACTCCAGCCGGCACATCATCTATGTATGAGCCGCACAGGGGGCGGGGGGCAGTGGTGGAGGATGGGGGTAGGCCAGGGTCCTGGGGGGCCAGGAGAAGGGGTACCAAGGTAGGCTGGGGGCTGGGGTCCAGGCGCTGGTGCCTGGCTGAAGGCACTCACACTGCAGTGGGGAGGCAGTCAGGGCTGCAGGCAGAGGGGTGAGCCCTGGCGGTGCTCCCAGGGCCCTGCCCTTGTCCATATCCATGGGCTGGGGGACTGGTGACCAAGGAGCCAGAGCCTGATCAGAGGGGTGGCCCATGTGCTGAGCTGGTGCTCAGGGTCATGTGTCTAGGTCTTTGGCGCCAGGGCTGGAAGGGTGACCCCAAAGCCGATGTGCTGCCGCCGGTCACAGGTAGACAGCTGCACCACTGTGGCCAACCCTACAGGGGCCGCCTGCTGCAGGCAGCCCCGAGGCCCTGTGCCCCTTGCTCACAGAGCAGGCTGGGCAACTGGGTGCCTGCACACGTTCTAGCACCGCCCCATTCCCACTGCGCATGGCACGGAGGGAGGGGAGAGGGCTGCTGCCTGCTCCAGCCAGGCCGTGGGGACCCTGGCTCCGTGCCCAGGTTCACATCTACGTCTGTACTTGCAGGTAGACCAGCCCACCCTGGGCATGCCGTCCCACGAGTACTATTTGAAGGATGGCACCAACTGGAAGGTGAGTCGGGGGCAGGGCCCCTGGCCCCCACTGCACCTTCCTACCCACCCCCTCCACCTTGGGCACCCTTGTCACCTCAGGGCCCTCTTGCGGCCCAGCTCCCCTGTGTGTCTGCTTGACCCCTGCCCCCACAGCTAGCCTTTGCGAGCGCCTGCACAGGTCAAGTGCACCGAGGACAGGGACAAGCTGTGACCTACATCAGGCCCAGGATCAGCTCAGCTCAGCCCGGCAGTGCCAAGGGGCACACCTGCATCCTCATCCCGCAGATGCAGGACTGCAGTGCACACCGCTGGTTCCTGCACAGGGCCTGCAGAGCGCCACCCAGCAGCCCAGCCACGAGCCCTCACTCAGTCCCCTCCTGCACTGAGAGGAGGGGCTGAGGCGAGGCAGGGGCCAGGGCCAGCCCCGGCACAGGGAGCTGAGGTATGGCAGGCCTCCCGCGGGCTGGAGGCGGGCTCTGAGCTGGCCTCCGAAGGATGGGTCCGGCCAGGAGGAAAGACAGGCGCAGCCCGGGACAGAGCTGTGGGATTGGCAGCAGGGCCAGGCGGACCAAACCAAGGAGCCCAGCACAGAGCAGAGGGGCTGGAGGCCTGGCAGGGCTTGCCGGCAGCCATGGGTCAGACCAGGCACTATGGCCCAGCTGGCCTGGGGGCACTGGCTCAGCCTGATGCCAAATAATCTGAGGAGGAGCCTGCCTGCAATGAGGAAAGCCCCTCCCGGATGGGGTGGGGTGACAAAGAAGGCAGGTCCAGGAGAAGGACACGACTTGGCCCCCAGCGGGGCGCTCACCTGCCTGGGCTCCCAGTGCTCTGGCTTCTCACTGGCACCCATTGGAGCTACGGAGTGACCCATCACTCATCCTGATGGCCACATACTAAGAGCACACAGCAGTTTGCACCCCATACGACCCCCTGTTGGACAGCTGGGTCATTTCCCATTGGGACTTTTCTGAGCAATGTTGCTGTGCTCATTTGTGAGCATGTCTTCAGTGCGTACACATGTGCACTGCTGTCAAGCGTACACCTGGGAATTAACGTGGTCAACCTAATGGACGATGCCACGCCTCCCCAAGTCATTGTAGAGCTTGACCCCCAACAGCAGCATGAGCCGCCCGCCCTGTGCCGAAGGGGTGCATCTCCTCTCAGCCGTGCGCCTTTGTGCTGTGCGGTCTCACCCGGCAGAACGTGGCCTTCCCTGATGGCCAGCACAGCGCTGCTTCGTGCTGACTGCCAGCACTGGCCCTCCCTGAGGTGCCTCGCCGTCTTTTCTATTGGGCCACCTGCCTTCTCCACTGGCACTTAGCCTTCTTTGTATACGCTGACCCCTTGGCCGGGTCATGTGCAGTGACTGTCCTCTCCACCAGGCAGCTGCTTCTTTACTCTAAGATGGTCCTTCTTTTCCCAAAGGTTTATAAATAGTCCTATTTATCAACTTACCAAAGACATGACAATCTTTTCTCTGTGGCTGGTGCCCTCTCCGCTCTGCTTTCCAGGTCTTTGCCTGCCCCAGAGATGACTGAAAATCCACCTTGAGTTCATTACATGAGGAGCAACGTAGGGATCGCTCCATTTCTTCCCTGTGGACATCTAGGCAACTAGTGACCCCTACTGAAGACCCCCCTAGCCACTTCTCCATGCCTTTGTTAGAATCAAGGGTGTACACATACATGTCTGTGTGTGGGCATGTGCCTTATGTGTGTGCATATGTGCATCCATGCACGTTTTGTGTGTGCATGAGTGTGCACCCATGTCTGTGTGCACCTACATGTACATTTCTTTGCCTACATGCCAACCACCCACTACTTCCAGAGCTACAGCTTTAGGATAAGTTGGGTTATCTCACAGAGGAAGTTCGACAAGTTTGTTCTCCCAGGTCATTTTGATTATTCTTGGTCGTTGTGCTTTTGTACAAAACTCAGAGTCATCTCACCAGTTCCACAAAGCACCCTGCAGGGATTTCCACAGGGATCATTCTGGACCTAAGCACCAATCTGGGGGTGATCAACATCCTTACAATCTTTCATTACATCTATTCCTGGGTTTTTTTAATACTACTGTGAATGTGGATCATTTTGTAATTTATCTTCTTATTCTTTGATGCTCACATACAGAAATGCTGACCTTGTATAATAGCAAGTTCACTCCATGTATGTGTTCATTCTAACCCTTTATCTGTAGGTCCTCTCAGATTTTATGCACACAAATTACATCCTTTGTGAAAAATAAGTATTATTTCTTCCCTCTCGGTGAGCGCTTACTGGTCTTACTTCACTTACTCATCTCATTGAACTGGTGCAGACGTCCAGCGCGCTGCTGAAGTCAGAACACCACGGTCTTGCTCCCCTCCCGACCTCAGAAGAAAAGCTTGCAGCACCTCACCGACCATTTTGATGCAGGCTTTTCTTGCTACTGTTGCTATGAAATACCCTTCATCCAACTATGGGATTTATCCTCTATGTCTAGTCCACTAAGAGTTTTTTTATCATGAATAGATGGCAAATTGTATTAAATGCCTTTGCACATATGTTGAAACAATCATGCACTTTTCCTCCTTTATCAGTTCTCAGTGGGAATCATACCAATTTAATTCTCAAATGTTAAACCAGATTTGAATTGCTCGCGTAAATCTAATTTGTCTGCGATGTGTTACCTATTTTCTGTAGGCACGCGTGAATTCTAATCGCTGCTACTTTGCTTAGAGTCTTTGTTCCTGTGATCATAAAGGATACTTCCTTTCCTTGTAACATCCTTGTTTCGGTATTAAAATTCTTCTTGGCCTCAGAAATCAAGCTGAGAAGTTTTCTCAGGAACGCTCGGTAAGACTGGCAGTATGTCCTCCTTCAGCGTCAGGTAGTAGCCCCTAGAAAAGCCAGGTGGGCCTGGAAACGGCCATGTGGGAGCAGTTCCAGATTCTGACGCTCTGTGCTCTATGCCTTGAACTCCCTGCTGGGGGCAGAAACTGCGGGCCAGGGATGCATAAGCCATATCCCCTCCCCAGGAAAACCCCCTGCTCAGCTGTCCCCCCTTCCCCCACCGCAGGGCCATGCAGAACTACCTGGTCTGGCGCCTGGTGCTGGATCGCATTAGTGGCCTGGGCCAGCGATTCGAGGATGCACGTGCAAACCACCGCAGGGGGAGCGACCTTTACTCTGTTTATGACGCTGGGCATCTGCGGTGGGCAGGGAGGCCTCTGTGCAGGCGACACCAGAGACTTAAGGCGAGAGTGACAGAGACATGAAGACATGGAGGATGGACTCCCAGGGAACACACCCAGCTAGGGCAGAGGTCCTGGGGCCACATGGGGGAAGGAGAAAGGTGAGGTCAGGGAGGGAGGCAGGGGCCGGCAGTGTGGGGCAGAGCTGCAGGAGGATCCCCCCTGCATGGAAGCTGCAGGGGCCTTAAGAGCAGGACCCACTTGGGTGGTCATTCTGGCTGCTGGGGGGACAGCCAGAGTCAGGGCAGGTGTCCATCCAGGTGGGGGTGGGCAGCAGAGAGGGTGCTGGCGTCTGTCAGTCAAGGTGCGGGTGGGGGTGAGGGGCCCAGAGTCAGGGCGCTCTGAGCTGCTCCGCCAGGGCAGTGGGAGGGGTGGGGAAGGGCAGTGGCTGTGCAGGGAGGGGCGGCGGGTTGGGACAGTCAGCATTCCCACCTGGCTTGTCCAGCAGGACCTCGGCCAGCATCTGGGAGGGAGCAGTGCCCCAGAGCTCCAAGGAGAAAGGGTCATACTGGCCTCTCAGGGGCCAAACACCCCAAAGCCCAGGAAGGTGTGGTGGGATGCTGGGCAGATTTGGGGCCAGGAATCCGATGGGGACACATTTCCACCTTGTGCCCCTGCATCTGTAGGGACAGGTCAGCAGGCACACCCATCACCACTTAGGCGACGGCAACACTGGGCTGGAGAGCTGGTGGCTCTCAGCCGAGCAGGACACGGTCCCAGGGCCTGCTCCTGGGTCAAGCTCGGCCTGGGCTTGGGGACGGGGTCCAGCCGAACAGCCGGCCAGGGTGGCGAGGACTGGGACAAAGAGCTTGGGGCCAAGCTTGTCCCCCCATCCCTGAGGGGAAAGACCAACTCCCAGCCTGGGTCAGGGAGCCCTCCCAGGAATGCACACTCAGTGGTCCCCACACTCACAGCCAGCATGCAAAGGGGGTCTGAGCTCCCTGTGTCCCCAAGGGCCCCTGGGCACCCTGAGGCTCAGGAAGGGGAGTGGGCGTCAGTAATGCACTGGGACAGTGAGTGTGCGGGAGCCACCGGGTGCTGTATGGCACAACGGTGGAGAAGGTGCGCTGGCCAGAGTGCGTCAACTACGTCAACAGCAACATGGAGAGTGCTGTGGGCTCCCTGTAGGTGAAGGCGGCCTTCTCCAGAGACAGCAAGAGCGCGGTGGGTGCTCTTCCCAGGCCAGCCTGTGCCGGGCCAGCACCCCTGCAGGGACAGGGGGGAGGAGCAGGTCACATCACCAACCCCTGGACAGACACTCCCTGCCAGGGGCCTGGCTGCCCCCGGCCGCAGGTGCATGTTTGGTGCCAGGGGAGCCTCAGTTGCCTGGCTCTGCTCCCAGTGGCCACCACCCTGGCCCAGCACCCTGCAGGCCCGTTTTGGAAGGGGGTACAAGGCCTACAAGTTGTGTCTCCAGGGGGCTACTCTCAGCCCCGGGGCCTCATTCCTGGCCCCCAGTTGCAGCAGCCCAAGGCTAGGGTCGGGGCTTAGGCCCAGAGTCCTGCAGAGGCCACGGTGTGGGTCCCCCAGGCACAAGGGCCCTGTGCACCCCCAGGTCAGAGAGCTCGCTGACAGGGTGCGGGTGGCATTCACGGAGACTCTGGGCGAGCTAGACTGGGTGGACGAAGCGTCCAGGAAAGCGGCCCAGGAGAAGGCGGGTGGGCGGGCGCTGGGGCACTGCAGCCAGCATGGGAGGGCAGCCCCAGGGTGGGGGGCACGAGGGACCCCCTCACACCCACTTTAGAGAGGTCACTGGGGCTGGGTTGGCTCTCTAGGAAGGGCCAGTGGGCAGAGGCAGCACAGGACGCCGAGCCTGGGAGTGCCCAGGAGACCCCGGAGAGGGTCAGGGGCAAGCACGGCAGCGGGGGCAGGGCCCCTCTGGGCCCTCACAGCAGACCCATCTGTCCAGTGCCAAGGGCAGCCTTGGGCTGGGCCTGCGCGTGTCTATCCCTGCGAATCTCCCCAGAGCCAGCAAGGAGGGCCAAGCCCCAAGCCCCTTAACCCCATGGCGGGGAGGCAATGCAGATGCCCCCCTCCTCCCCAGGCCATGGGCATCTGGGAGCAGACTGGCCACCCCGACTACATTCTGGAGGAGAACAAGCACCTGGGCGAGGAGTATTCCACCGTGTACCCCACTCCATCCAGGGGGCCCTCAAGAGCCCCACCTGTCCCCTCCCCACAGACCATGGGCCTGGATTACCTGGGGCACGGGGTGCTCTGTCACCAGCTCCCCATGTGCCAGGGGGGCTCCACCCCACCCTCTGCTACCCACATGGAAGCTGAGGCCAGGAGAGACACAGAGCCAGGGCTGGACCCCCAGCCCCCTGCACCCCCAGAGCCCGCTGGCCCCAGGCTGCACTGCCCAGCTCGTCCTGAGGCAGCCAGGTCCCAGCCTGACCTCCAGAAGGGAGCAGGTACTGCCTGTCCCACTAGTAGGCCTCACCCACCAGCCCTGTGAGGGGCAGCCTGCTGTGTCCCTGAGGAAGGCGTTGGGGGGAGGCAGGGGGCAGCGAGGGCTCTCCCCAAGGCAGCCCAGAATGGTGTGGGCCTCGTCTGCTGCACACGGGATCTGGGACCTTGGGAGCCCCGTCCTTTCCTCCTGACAAGCGGGAGTGTGGCATGGGAAGTGACAGAGCCCCACACAGGCCCCTCGTGGCCCCACAGCGTTCCCTGCTGGGATCCTGCAGCCCCCTTTCTTCAGCAAGGAGCAGCCACAGGCCCTGAGCTTCGGGGGCATCGGGATGGTGATCAGGCACGAGATCACCCACGGCTTTGATGACAATGGTAGGGGGGCTGCCTGGAGGGCCAGAGCCTCATCTCCAGGTCACACCGCCCCTCCCCTCCCTCCCCTCCACCCTCCCCTTCCACGCCCTCCCTGCTGGAGAGCATAACAGGGGACTGAGGGCAAGTCAGCAAGGGGCTTGGAGCCGTCCCTGCAACTCCTCCGTGATTCAGGTGGGCGTGTGAGGCCCAAGGCAGGGAAGGGCTTGCCAGGCGCCCTGGGGAGCTTCAGAGGCAGAGGACACAAGGGCTCCAGCCCAGTCCTGACACCGCCCTATTAACTGGCCGCCCTCTCCCCCGCTGGTGGAATGGGAACAGCCACAGGCTCCGTGTGGCTCTGGGGCAGCCAGCGTCTTCGTGGACACGCTGACCAGCACTGCCACCTCCGCTCTCAGGCGGGCCACCTGCCTGGTTCCAGCTGCAACAGGGGAGGCTGGTTTTCCCACAGGCAGCCCCATGTCCCTAGGGACCCTGTGCTCCCCTCATCCGGGGTTTAGAGAGTTTGAGCATCACAGTAAGAGTCATTAAGCGACCGTGCCTCTGGGAGCCTGGGACCCGAGACCCCGGGCCCTAGCCTTGGGATGGCGTGGAAGACCACCGAACTTCTCGCTCTCCCAGCCTGAGCCACTGTGGCAACATGCTGACCCATGTGAGCCCTACCAGGGCCTGCTTTCTGCTCACAAACTGGGGCTCCTGGTACTGGGTTCCTGGGTGCACGTGCAGGGAGGCCTGGTGCTGGGGAGCAGCTGCCTCTGCCCCCACCAGGCCAGAACTTCGACATGGACAGCAACATGCACGACTGGTGGAGCAAGCGCTCAGCCCGGCACTTCTGGAGGCAGTCAGAGTGCATGGTCTACCCCTAGGGGAACTACTCTTGGGACCTGGCAGAAAAGCAGAACGTAGGAGGCAGCACAGCCCCTGGCCCCTGGGAGTGCCAGGGAGGGGACCCAGGCTGTCCTGCCAGCCCATCTCCGACGTGCAGGTGAATGGATTCAGCACACTTGGGGAGAACATCGCAGACAGTGGAGGGGTGCGGCAGGCATACAAGGTGGGTCCAACAGGGGCCCCTGGAGGAGGTGGGAGCTCGCCCCCTAACCAAGCCGAGGCGGATCCTGAACCCTTCTCCATCGGAGCTGGGAGACAGCAGTGCCCTGGGGGAGCCTGCCTGGCCCTGGGCGGATGAGTGCCACCGAGGCTGCTCTGCCCACATTTGCCCTGGCCTCGGTTGAGAACTCCACGCTCCGGGGAAGCCACTGTCCACCTCCAAGTAAGGTAGAGATGGCCACCACACACCTTCCGGCCTCAGCTGCACTGCTGCCCTGCGAACTCAGACTGGGCTTCAGGAGCACATCCTAGGTGGGCACTGCGCAGCCAGCTGCCTGGACAGGGTGTCCCCCAGAGCCCAGCCACTCTGGGCGTTTGGATGGCCACTGAGCTGTTAAGGCAGTGAGCTGTGTCCCTGGGGGTGCTCAAAGGCCTGAGCTGCAGAAGCCGGACCCCCACCAGGGTAGGCCTAGGAGCCAGACCTCCATCCTGCCTGGGTCTGAGGACTCCCAGTCCCAGCCAGCCTGTGCGGCCCTGGAGGGAGGGTAGGCCCGTAGGCCCCAGCGTCCGCCCAGCCCAGCACCTGTTTGATGCCTGCAGGCTTACCTCAAGTGGATAGCAGAAGGCGGCAAGGAACAGCAGCTGCCAGGACTGGAACTAACCTATGACCAGCTGTTCTTCATCAGCTGCGCCCAGGTCGGGTTGCAGATCCCCTCCCACCTGCCTCCACCTGCCTCCACGCTGGCGGGAAGCTCCTTCCCTGTGCACATCTTTGGAGGGCCTCTACTATGGGGAGCTCCAGGAGCACTGTGGGCAAGCAAGCTGGACAGAGCAGAAGGGACAGGCCAGGAGGCCTTCCTGGAGGAAGAGGATGGCAGGGATTTGAAGCTGGGGATCATTCAGATGTAGCTGCAGAGTCAGGGGAGCTGGCCAGCTCCCTCCCCAACCCAAGAAGGGACAGTGGGACTGGCGGGGCTCCTTTGTGCCATCAAAAATGAGACCACTCTCCCGTCCTGCTGCCCCAGGCCCAGCCAGATCTCTTCAGGACCCCCTTCCCCCTTGACCCATCCCCAAGGCCCACCCCCTCCCCCAGTCCCGCAGCCACGCCCATGTGCCCACAGGTGTGGTGTGGATCCTACCAGCCTGAGTTCGCCATCCAGTCCATTAAGACTGATGTCCACAGTCCCCTCAAGTACAGGCAAGTGGCCCCCACCTCGCACGCCCACGCCCACCTCCTGGCACCACCCGGCTGGACGGCTCATCCCCTCCATCACCCATAGGATGCTGGGCTCACTGCAGAATCTGGCCGCCTTCTCAGATGCCTTCCATTGTGCCCCGGGCACCCCCATGCACCCACACCGGCGATGCCGCATCTGGTAGCCGAGGTCAGGTCGTCCTGCCTTCACGGAGGCGGTGCAGCCGGCAGGGACCCATGTGCATCCTCCTCCTGGCCTGGAGTGCAGCCACCACCCCAGACACGGTGGTGAGCACACCCCACCAGGTGTCCCTTTGTGCCACCCTGGGTCTCAAGGCTGCCCCCTGGCACCCTGCAGACATGCTTAACTGGCTTCTACCTGCTGTCCAAAGATTGCCTTCATCAGATGTCCACGACCTTCAGGCCTGAACTAAGTAAACACTTCAGAGCAGTTGTGTGCCTTGTCTAAGAGGGCCTGGGTGGGCAGACAGGGTGGCCACACCAAGGGTGAGCGCCCAGCTCTGTCTGCCATCAGACCACCTGGCTCTGCTGCTGACTGCTGGTAGCATTGGGCAAAACAGCAGCCAGCCAATGGGAAAGGGCAAGGCTCTCTGCGGAGGGAGCGGTGCCCCCACAAGTCTCCCCAGGGGCTTGGTGCTGGGGCCACCGTAGTGACCAGGGTACCCCCAGATGCTGGCCCTGGGGCCCACATGGGTGGGAGGGGCTGCCAACTGAGGAAGAGCTGGCTGAGCTCAGAAGGTGGGCAGAGGGGACCGGGGAGCCTCAGCCTAGAATCTGGATACCACTCTGATGGGAAGCCAGGAGGGGGCGCCGAACCACAAAGTGACACTGTCACCTGCCCTGAGTCTTTAAATAGCCAGAGAGGAGCTCTGGATCACCCGCAGGGTGAGGGTGGGGGAGGCAGGGAGGCCGGCCAGGAGGCCACTGTGGTCACCCAGGCCCCGGCCAGTGGGCATAGCAAGGGGCCGAGGTCATCTGAACCCACTCAGACCAAGAGCTCAACGGGGACGGGGCAGAGTTCTGCTCTGGGCCTCCTAGGTTTGAGGTTCCTGTTGTGCTCCTTAGGTAAGGTGTGGGGTGGGCACTGGACATGAGCTAGACTCTCCCTGACCAGGCTGCAAATGACAAGGATCCTCATTTCATGACATGAAGGCCCTTCCGGCAGAACAGCCCTCTCCCGTGGTCCACCAGGTGCCAGCAGGAAGAGTGGAAACCACACCCTCCCTGGGCCAACTGGAAACCCAGTTAGCTACCTGCGGACCCCTGGGCCCGTCCTCACACTCCTGACCCTTATGCCCCAGAGGCTTGAGGTCTCCAGGGAGGTCACCGGAGCGAGGCCACCGCCCCCAGCTCCAGGGAAAGGGCTTGTCCTGGGGGATAAGATCAGCTGGCTGGCCCGGAGCAGACCAACAGCCATTGGGGTGGGGGCTGCCAAGGGTGCAGGGCTCAGAGCCAGTGAGGAGATGCAGGGGGCAAACTGCAGTTTAATGCTCTCTGCAGCCTGCAGGTCAGGCAGAGGTGAGCAACTCAGCCCAGAGGTTCCGGGCAATTCTTCACATCCAACTCCCAGTGTGCCCAGGGCAGCTGGCACCTCCCGGACCTTCAGAGGCCTTCACCTCACATACGCCTCCTCATCACAGGAGGACAGCAGAAGGCCCATCAGACCAGCCATACTCCCGGGGGCCAAGAGCAGCCGGTCCCTCCCACCACAGTCCATGACCTGAAGAGAGGAAGGACCGTTCTGGGCATCCCACACAGCGACAGTCTGAGGTAACTGTCGTGATGTGGTCCTGGCGGCCAACCTCTAGTCACCACCAGAGACACAGGCCAGTTCCCATGAGAAGATCCCACCCCATCTCACAGGGCTCAGCAGGCATGGGGCCCACAGAAGTACCTGCCCAGCCAGAAACAGCCCAGTGGCCAGCACCCCACAGAGGTTGCAGGAATCGTAGACCGAGCCCAGAGATCTGGCTCAGCTAGTGCCGCCAATCAAGTGAGGCCACCAGCCTGTGGCACTGGCATCCAAGGTGGCTGGGATGGTCCCTGGCTGGGGCACTAGGCTCTAAGCCCCATCTGCAGTCTGCTGTGGGCAGGTCCTGGGTGAGAAGTCTAACTTATGGCCTATAACAGACACCCAGCACCCAGGAGAAAGCCCAGCAGAAGGGCTGGCTGAATGCCACAGGTCAGCTTGCCCAGAGGGGTGGCAAGGAGAAGCGTAGACCCCCATGTGCACCTCCCTAGACCACTCACCGCTTGCAGCCCAGCTCCTTGTAGAACTGCCTCTATCCTCCAGGTAAGAGTTCTGGAAGGCAGCAGGTGTGTGCCCCAGGCCCACCCAGCTCCCTGGCTCACCCTTGTGCATCCAGCCCTCTGTTCACCCTTGGTACCCAGCTCACCAGTCCAGGGCCAGAAGGAGCAGAGCAGGGCTGCATACCCAGTGTTAGAGGAGGGGCAGAGGCCCAGGGGTGATAGGGAAGGGAGGGGCAGGGCTTGTCTGGACTCTACCACTGGGCCCAGGGCACTGCCAGGGCACATCATGGGTGCGGGGAGACGTGTCCAGCAGGGCGGGGATTGGGGGGTGCCCAGCCTGAGCTCATCCCAGCTCCTCCTGCTGGTGCAGGGACATCTTGGGAAGTTCGGGGTCTCATCAGCAGTTAACCAAGGGTGGGAGGACTTCTGCCTCCTGCGGAGGTGAGGAGCTTGCAGTTGACCCAGTAATCAGGACCCTTGGTCCTGATTCGAAGGCACTGACACCACCAGCTCTGACGCACTGCCCGCGCACAGCGCAAAGACATCAGGGCTGGGGGATGTGGGTGGGGCCACAGATGATGGAAGGCGAGATGAGGGGAACTAACAGAGGAGCATGCCCGGGCCTCTCCTGGATAGAGGGTTCGGCTAGGCAAGGAGGGGACAGCAAATGCCTTGTGAGAAACACACTCACTGGTCCAAATTCAGTAAGTGGACACGCGGAGACACAGAGAACTGCAGAGCGAGACTTTAATGACGGTCTTGCAAGATCAGGTATCTGGTGGGCAGGCACACCTGGGGAGTTTGGCGCCAATAATTTATCTCCTAGTGCGTGCATCCCTCCTCTGGTTTCTCATTGGATGAGTACCACAGGGTTTACATTCTTTCCCTGACGTTGCCTAAGCCGGTTATATCTTTCCTTTACATTTGTCTTAATATTATTGGTAGGTTTAAAAAACTCAAACAGGTATTGCCAGGTCCTTATCAATTCCCCCACCCCCACTCTCAGCCCGAGCAGCTTCCACCACGTGGCCCTTTGTTAATACCTTACTGTTAAAATGTTTAAACATCCTAGTGGGAATAAATCACATTTAGGTTTTATACTCTTTCCTAACACCCTGAGTTTCGGGAAGGGCCTCAGGGGAGCTGGGGGGTCAGCAATGGGAGGCGAGCGGGGAGCACAGGCAGTTTCCTGCGAAGTAGTCGCCGTCCAGAAACTCCCGCAGGCGCGGGGCCTCGCACCGCAAGCGCACCAGGCACACGCCGTGCTGGTCCCGGAGGCTCCTGAGGCTGCTGAGGTCCCCGGCGACCCAGCGTGACCGGGGCGGGGACCACATGCAGCCGAAGCTCCGCAGGCCGGCAGCCACGCGCGCCTGCTCCTGCCACAGGCTCCGCAGCTCCACTTCCTACGCGGAGCGGAGCGGGGACCACCGCCCGCTCTCCCAACCCGCCCGGAGCCCTGGGTCCCCAGCCAGCACCGCGCACGCCCAGCCTGCGCCCCCGCCCCACGACCCTCTCCCGACCCCAGGTCGCCGACGCCGGATACGCTGCCAGGGCGCCTGGGCAGATCCCGGGGCCGAACCCACCGCTCTGCACCCCTCTGGCCTCCCCACCCGGCCACCGCGTGCTTCCGGACACGCGCCCAGGCGGGCCAGGCCCACGGCGCTCACGCCGGCCGCCCGCCCCGCTCCCTGCGGCAGGCCCCGCCCCCGGCCCCGCCCTACGACGCAGAGGGACCGACCTTCCCGCGCCCCAGGCCGCCAAGCCAGGCCCCGCCGGCCCCGCCCCGTCCTGGTCTCGCCCTGGCCCCGCCGGCCCCGCCCCAGTCGCGGCCCCAGACCGGCCCCCCTGCGCTCGTCAGCGGCACGCGGTGCGCCCGCGCAGAGTGCGGCGCGGGTCGTGGGTGGCGGCCTCGCTGGGCCTGGGCGGCGGGGCGGCGGTCCCGTGGTCCCCTGGTCCCGTGGTCCCCTGGTCCCGTGGTCCCCTGGTCCCGTGGTCCCCTGGTCCCGTGGTCGCGGGGGCGGGCGCAGGCTTTCTGGCCCGGAGAGGCGCTACAGCGACGTGGGGCGCGGTTCGCTTGGACTGGGGGTGCGCCCGCGCGGGTCTCGGGCCTGGCGGCCGGGCGGGGGTCCCAGCCGGCGGAAGGGGCGAGGCCTGGCCTCTTCTCGTGGCCTTGTTTCAGCTTGAGAATCCGTGTGAACGTAGCGTTTACTCAACGACACGCCCATGTTCGCTTTGATCATAAAATACTGGTAATGACTTACTTGCCAGCTAAATATCCACTTTTTTTTTTTTGAGAGGGCATATCTCATATTTATTGATCAAATGGTTGTTAACAACAATAAAATTCAGTATGGGGGGTCAATGCTCAATGTACAATCATTAATCCATCTCAAGCCTAATTCTCGTCAGTCTCCAATCTTCTGAAGCATAACGAACAAGTTCTCACATGGTGAACGAATTCTTACATAGTGAATAAGTTCTTACATGGTGGACACTGCAAGGGCATTCATCACAGAAACTTTCGGTTTTGATCACGCATTATGACCTATAAACAATCAGGTCAAATATGAATATTCGTTTGATTTTTGTACTTGAT